ATATTTTATAATAATTTGTTAATATTTTGTATTGATACTATTTAATTAGTTTTTTTATACATATAATGTTTAAAATTATAATTTTAATAATATATAAAATATATTTTATGTATACAATATTATATATATTAGAAATATTATTATTTTATATATTTTTAAAATAAATCAAAAAAGTTATTATTTTATTTAAATGATCATTTTCTATAAGAAATTATGTAGTTGGTCACAGTGTATATCAGTTATATATGATAAATTCAATACGATTGAACGTTTTAATATGTTTGTATAAACATGAAAATTGTATCGTATTCTCGTATTTTATAAATAAAAGATTTTTATTATAATTTATGATTGAAAAACCTATATTTTTGAAATACAAACATGTTGATCTATGATATTTTACATAAAGAAACAGTATATCATTCAATTATTAATGATCTTCGTAATTACGGAGTTAAATATCGTTTAAAAAAAAATATGTTTAAAACAGAAAGATTCGAAGAAATTAAACATATTTCAAAAAAAATTTTTAAAATTTCTTTGTTATATCAACCATTAGATGTTGTGAATTTATCTTCTGGTGCCATTGTACATGTTCCTGTTTTTGTTAGCCAAGCATCTACATTTTTAGAAAAATATATTACTCAAGAAGGATTATTCAGAAAAGCAGGATCACAGCTTAGACAAAAAGAATTAATAATGCGTTTAGATAATGGTGGTAGTTTAGGAGAAAAACTTCATGCTGTTGATGTAGCTAATTGTTTAAAAACTTTTTTTAGAGATTTACCAGAACCATTAATTCCATATACATATCATGATTTATTTGTGCATTGTGTCATGCTCAAAACTTATTGTGTACAAGCATTGCTATTAGCTTGTATTCTTTTACCACCTCATCATTTAAATACTTTAGCATTTTTTATGGAATTTTTAAAAAAAGTGTCATTATATGAAAAACAAAATAAAATGAGTATTGATAATTTAGCAAAAGTTATTGGACCAAATATCATGCCTTTACAAAAAACCACTATGTCTGCTGTACAAATGCGTCTTGAATTACATTTAATTGTTGTTAAGGTAATATATTTATTTTGAAAATAATATATTTAATATAATATTTTTAATATAAAATAACATTTATTTTAAATATTATTGTAGATTTTAATTGAAAATGCAGAAAGTATTGGTGTTTTACCAGATCATATAACACAAATTATTTCTATGGAAACAATTGGCAGTACAGATAATGAATTAGATATATCTGATCATTTACACTCAAAATCGAAAAAAAAAAAACATCGCAGTGGAAGTCTTACACGTAAGCCACATCTAAGTGCCTCCAACCTCAATCTAAGTATGTCTGTCGATCTGTTCATAGTAATTTAGTTCTGAATTTTATCCATATGCATTGTATTGATATTAATAATAAACATACAATGAAAATTTTATAAAATAAGTATAAATATGTATTTTAACAAATGCATTATTCAATTAATTTAATTTAATTACTTGACAGATCAAAATTTTTTATAAATATAGAATTCCATAAAATTTAAATATTTTTTTGTAGGAATGTTTAATGGTTTAAAAAAAATTGTTAGTAAAAATGCTGCATCTGAAGATAATGCACATGATAGTCAAAAGAATCTTGAAAATACTGATTCAATACATGCATCAAATATTAAATCCACGAAAAAAAGGAAAGTTGATTATTTAGATTCACCAAATACAAAAAAGAAGTATGTATTTAACTTGTTTTTTTTCTTTCCTATTATAAATATAATTAAAAAATATATATATTTATTTATATTTATTAATTTTAAATATCAATTATCTTGTGTTTTAGAAAAATTACAGATAAAATAGATAAATCCAAAAAGATTAGACTTAGCTTGGACCGTTTTGTACCAAAAAAGCCAGTAAGAATATTAAGATGATTAGCTTATTTAATTAATATTATAATATTAATATTATAATAGTAATATTATATTAAGATGATTAGCTTAATTAATTTAATTTTTAATTTAATAATTAATTTAATTTTATAATATTTAACAATATTTAATTTTCATAATACAAAAAATACTTATATATTTACAGAAAACTGTTAATGAAAGTAAAGAATCATGTACAAATATTCTTAATGCTCATACAAATCGACGTTGGAGTTCTGTTTATAATTCTCGTGATTCACAAAAAACTTATAGATCATATAGCGATGGTTCATCGCATTTAAAATTAATTTTAAAAGATAATGAAATATCAAATGATCTTCATAGAGAATATAATAATATGTTTATCGATGCGGATGTTAATTTGTCAGATGATAGTGATGAGCAGGTCTTGTCAATAGAAGAAGATAATATTAAATATAGCAATCAACATTCACGAATAAATTCAAGTTCAGAAGAACTAAAAATTTCAGATAATTTTGATCAAAAGCATATATATTCAGCAAAAAGGAAATTAAATAATTTTGAAACATATTCACATTTTCAAGTCACATCTATAAATAAACAGTCAGAGGAATATGTTACAATACCTAAAAGTGAATATGAAGAAATTAAAAATAGAGTTTCAGCAATTGAATCTCGTCTTTCTCAAGAATTCAAATGCATAAATACCGAAAATAATGAGAATAATGATGATTTATTATTGCATTCTGTAAAAAAAGTACAAACTGCATATGAAAAAACATTAGAAGAAGCTAGTATTGAAAATACAGTAACAGCTGATTATTTAGCTAAGAAACTTGGTAAAGAATTAAAAATTAGAAGATCAAGTGAACATAAAATTATTAGATCTCCAAGTGCTCGAAAAATAGGAAGTTTAAGAAGAAGATCGCAAGAAAAAGTAATGAGGTAAATTAATAAATTGTATTTTTAATAGTAAATTTTTATATTTTTTTATTTTATAATCATTAATTTAATTTTTCTACTTCCTAGTAAACGTATTAGACGAAGTGCTTCATGGCATATTTCTCATGGATTGCAATCATATATAAAATCAGATCAAGATTTAAATAATGCCTATTCTCATAATGAAAAGATTTATTCATTGAATTATACAAAGGACGATACTTATTTACGACCTATATCTACTTCTTTTTGGGAAGAAGAAAAAAATAATATAATTTTAAATAATGTACACAATGAGTTTAATAATTCAAATATATATACGAAAGATCATCAAAATTCTGTTCAGCCAATAAAAAATCGAACTAATATGACGGTACGTCGAATATCGTCTTTTCATGGTAATGAATTTACAAATGCAACTATTTATTCCAATGATAAAATTGAAAAATTGAAAAAGACAAATAGCCAGCAAAATATGATTTTAAATAAAACTCCTGTTACTAAATTAATTCCTAGATCTGAAGGAAAAAAAAAAGTCATGTCTTGGAAAGATGCAGATAGATATTTTACATCAGCAAATCAAATAAATTCTCCAATCATTCAAACTGGCCGTGCATCAATTGCAAAATTAAGAACTCAGAATGCAGGAATGGTACTAGCTAAAGCTAAATTATTTGATGAATGTACAACAAAAATATATGCTCAAAATACTATGATAAATAAGAAAAATGATTTATTTAATACAGAAGATGATCATTGTACAAATAATATAAAACAGAACTGTGAACGAATTGAATTGTATCGAAAATCAAATAAAAATGTAAAAAATAGAAGTCCAAAAGTATTAAAACATTCTCCTTATATGGAAACTGAAAATAAAAAAAAAGATAGTGAAATGTGTTATTGTATTTTAAAAGATTCTATATCATGTAATACCATTACTCATCAAAAAGAAAATATGGCTGTTAAAACATTGCCGATGAAAAAAATGCCTATGAATATAACTCATGAATCAAGATTAAATACTGATAATAATATGTTATGTAAAACTCCACATATTAAGAAATCATTAACTGCAAAAACACCTAAGAATGGCAAGGCATTAGTGAGAAGACCTATAGTAGATTTTCATAGAACACCTTTAAAAGCTGTTAGTCAATTAGAAACTTCAAAATATCAGAATCCTAAAAATATTTTAAAAACAACAAGAAATATTAATAGATATACATGTACTTAATAAGATATAAATTTATTAAAAATGTATTCAGAAAAATTTATTTCATATTATATTCATTTATAAATTGATAAAAATAGTATTATAATTTAGAATATCATAACAAAAAAAAAAATTAATTTTTATAACATTTTTAATAATTATATTTTTATATATGATATATTATCATATAAATATACTAAAAAGTAATTTTAAGTATTGAAAGTAAATGAAAACATAAGCATGTAATAAATATATTCAAATACATTTTAATATCACAAAATATAAGATATTTTTAAACACTTTTTTAAAAAAATTATATTTATATATGTATGTTTTGTGTTTATTTTTAAAATTATTATTTTTAAAATTATTGTTATTAAGTATAAACATTTTTTAAATTTATATTTTTAATTATAATAATATTTTTAAAAAATTCGAAGTTTATGTTATTCGAATTAAATTTCTTATATGTAACATGAAAAATACAAATATGTAAA